TTTGAGGAGACCACTATTTGCTATGTGCTGCCATGATGGTAGACAGCCATCTTGCAACACAGCTGTTGAAGGCTCGTTTGATGCACAAGAGTTCTACAATTTCTGATTTGTCATTAGGCTGTTTGACAGCTGCTGAGAACGCATTATTTTATCGATTTTCTTTTTGGTCATGTGCGCCCCAAAATTTTCATGAATCTCCACACAGCTATAAGGGAGCTCATCTACTGCCTGCAAGTTGCCGCAATCAGTTCCACTTCCAACATTTTGTAAAAACTTGCATAACTCTGCCTCAATATAATATTTTACCCCACTTATGATTGTATACTCATTCTGAAATACATAGTTGAATGGTCAAAATTGGTGGAGAAATGATACTGACATCTGATCTGATAATCATCAAACACCGTGGCTGTTGAGCACTCAGCAGCCAATACCGGAGTTTGCTTTAGGGAGACAGTGAACATGATGTCACTACCCCATTGAACATGGTGTGACTGTCCAATGGAGTGATTCAAGGCTATTGATGTAATGGGTGCCAGCGATAGTCTAGACTTGTGATAAATGATAGCACAGAACCAAGTCTCCTGCTGACCATCATTTGTCAAATGTTGAATTTCCCCTGACAAGTATTCATATTTGTACACCAATCTCGAGCCAGGAATCCAAATTAGTACTCACTCCCAGCACAGAATGAAATAAGTCCATCACTTTTGTTAAAAGAATCAATGAGTGGCACATGCTGGCCAATGCTATTCAATTTTGTGAGTGCTTATCAAGGAATATTAGCTCCTGGATCATACACATGTCTGACTAACCAAGCTTTCTTTTGATGCAAGTACCAACTTTAAAAAAGCTGGCTAAAAATGTAGTCCAACAGCCCAATTCACTGTCTGAGTAACTTGTAATGTCCTCCAAGTCTTGTTCTAAAGTTGGCTACATCTACACACCCCCTTCAAATTTAAACAAATATGTCTTGGATATTTTTTATGATATTCTTGGTTGACTCATGCTATTCCAGCAATTTGACTTTGACAATGTCAAGAAATCATTCTTCAAAGTAGCCTATATAAGGGAGGATATCAAACAGACTTTGGGTGTTGAGACTGTCTTCCCTCCAGTATATGTGGTATTCATATCTCAGTCTACTCTAAAATTCCTATTAAGATCCTTCACAGAATACTGATGAGCTTGTGATGTTGGTAAGTGTTCCCACCAAGGGTGATTAAACTGCTAATTCACTCCTTGTGTTTCCCTGGCAGCCAACTGGATTTATCGTCCCAGAATGGTGGAAAAAAGTGTGCATGTATACAAATGAGGAACTTGTCACACTACCAGCCATACAGGTATTTACATTTAATATTGTGGCAAATGCAATGATTGATTCTTTTGATAGAAGGTTGTCAAGCCAGATGACACAACAATTCCCTTGAGTTACAGCACAGATTTCGGTGACAACGAATTCATGTCAGCCATCAGTTCATTAAGTGAAGGGATATGGATGGACAATGATACATCAGTGTTTGAAGCACCTTCCCATGCCCATCCTACTAGTATAGGCTTTGGGCAACTCTCACTAGCTCCAGAAACACTACCAGCATCCCAACCCCCTGCAGTTGTACCACTGACATATAGTGGGACTGCACTCTTGCTCACCTCTCTCATTCCACCACCGATGTTCACCACAATGCCGGACATCGTTGAGGGGCACTATATCTTATGTGACCCCTAATAGTTCCATATTGGCATCAAGCACACCCAGGAATACCTCAAGAAATACTTTGTTGCAGTGTTGGTGTGCCTTCAAGATGCCAAAACTTGGGGCAAACATTACTTACATACAGTGGCTCAAAAAAGTGTCCGAATGTTTATGCATTTTCAAGTAATTGAACAATAGCAAGGCAGAACCAAACAATGACCAAAGGGTATAGGGACATGTCTGAAAGCCCTATATCATGGCTCAAGTCTGGGATATATAGCGTGTGAACCCGACCATATATGGGCAAGCTATGGTAATTCTAAATATATGACTCATTCGGACACTTTTTTGACTTTTTATTGAAATCACAAAATCAGACCATTCATACATAATACTCTTAATTAAAGCCATGTCATAATGATAATATGGTCTGATTGCAATATTATTTGAATATATAAACCCACATAAGCTCATGAAATTCAACATAATCATCATGAAGCCCATCTCCTCTGCTCACAAGGATAATATCCTTGTTCTCTTTACCTCTGGTTTATCTACTAGGCAAATTGCCTCAAAAACTGGTCTTGGAAAGTCTACTATTACTACAGTCATAAAGCAGCACATGCCAGAGAAGGAAAATCATCAAATGGGATGTCCTCCCAAGCTTACTCCACAGAACAAAAGAGCTATTGTTCACCAAATTCTATCTGGCAAGGCTTCAAATGCTACCCAAGCTACCAAGTTCATCAATTCCATCATCACCACTCCTGTCTCCACCCAAACTGTCAGAAACACCCTCAGGGCAGCCAATCTTAAGGCTGTAACTAAGAAGAAAAGACCTCCTCTCTGTAGCTCATGGGAAGAGAAGACTGGCCTTTGCTTTAAAGCACCAACATTGGAGTGTGGAAGACTGGAAGAAGGTTATTTGGTCAGATGAAATAAAAATCTATAGAATGGAGTCATATGGCCAGGAATATGTGTGGAAAAAGGACAGGAGAACCATTAGGAGAAAGAGAAGTCAAGGGTACACTGAAGTTTGGAGGAGGAAGTATGATGGTATGAGGTTGTATGGGGTGGAATGGTGTGGAGATTCTTTGTGAAGTGGAAGGATGGATGAATGCAGAGCAGTACATCTCCATTCTAGAGGAGTGTCTACTCAAAAGCATGCAGGAGTCAGGAATTGATGAAGAAGACATTATCTTTCAACAAGATAATGACCCCAAGTACACCTCAAAACTGGCTACAACATGGTTTAAAGACCATGATATCAATGTTCTATCATGGCCAGCACAGTCTCCAGACCTCAATCTCATTAAACATCTCTGTGAATTACTCAAAAGACTACTTGCTGCCTATCAAGATCCTCCACAGGGGCTATTTAAACTATGGGAGAGAGTTGCAGCAGAGTGGACAAAGGTTGCTAAAGAGGAGTATCAAAAATTGATAGAAAGTATGCTTAGAAGGATTACAGCAGTTATTAAAGCCAAGGGGGGTAGCACCAAGTACTAGAATCATAGAATAGTCTTGGTTAAATACAAAGTCAAAAAAGTGTCTGAATGAGTCATGTATTTAGAATTACCATAGCTTGCCCATATATGGTCGGTTTCCCACGCTATATATTTCAGATTTGAGCCATGATATAGGGCCTTCAGACATGTCCCTATACCCTTTGGTCATTGTTTGGTTCTGCCTTGCTATTGTTCAATTACTTGAAAATGCATAAACATCCGGACACTTTTTTGAGCCACTGTATGTTCAGCTTGGAGACAACCAACTCTTACAATGACTGATGTTGTCAGGCAGTAGAAGAGTTGATTACCATCTCAATGGGTTGTGGTCAAGCACTAGAGAAAGGTAGGTGCCAACATGAATAAGGTCCTCTATCTCGAGTCACTCATATTATATCAGGGCTTCAATGTAGTCAAACTGGCCAATGAAAGGACTTTGATATCATTGATGCTATTGGATTGGTCTGTATTAGTTCTATTTTAGAAGTTTAGATGGCTCTGAGCATACCTACAGGTAACAAGCGAGTGGTGGGCATTCATCAAGAGTTTGAAAGCCAGCTCAGCTGCCTACATCAACAAGTTGGACAGGGCTTTCATTGGAGGTTATGATCTTCAGAGCAAGCCCCTTGAAATAATTGCAATTTATATCAATGGTCTTACTGGGTTGACGTCCTACAGAAGTCTGGCCTCATCAATTGACTTTACCCATGACACACAAGGGGTACTATCATCTTGTGAACATTTTCTGATCATGTAACTGATATTCAGTGTTTCAGAGACTGTATCGTAGGTTGGCAATATTAATATTGATTGCACAGTGGCTATTGCAACCAGTTCACAATGATTGTTGCTTGCTGAATCTGTTCTTTGATGATTATAATGAGGTTCTGGAACAACTCATATTGGTGGTATGTACTGTTGTTGACAACTTGTATTTGACACACACTCCTTTCTATAGTACATAGTGATGTTCAGGCATCGCCTTGCTACCAACCCTGGCACTTTACACACTGTGGACATGTGTGATGAGGCAGTCCACCAGTTATATTCCCTCAGGATGGCCTGCCAGGGCACTGGTAATGAAGCAGTCAAATTAAATTTCTGGATCACTACTCATGATGGAGAAGTGGCTGGTTGGCTGACCTGTGAGTAAAATTGCTTTAAGTCTTCCCTCACTATGTCTCATGTGTGCATTGTAACCAAAATGCACTTGTGTTAGCAGACAGCCTATGAGGCCCTAGTCGGTCATAGCTGGCATGACTGAATGTTCTCAGGCATCAAAGACAAAGAATGTGTCATGGTGTAGACAATTTTTTTCAGAAGGCTGTCGCTTCAAAGAGCTGCAAGAAGGTTTGGATGTGATCAGTAGTGTTGGTTTAATAGTTGACATAACAATGAAGGAACAATCTTCATCTTCATTTTAGTGTTTGGTAGGGCAGTCTCAATGAACTCATGGTCTCACATGAGCTATTCCATCTAAGCTGTATACAACGAGGATGTGTTTGTGATACCCACTTCCATCTAGACTTTGACTATAATCTGCACACTTTGCAGCCTGCAGTGGAGCAAATTCAGAGTGACAAGTGCCCTGTTACTGTTCCGAACTTGTTCGGCTCTCACCTGCCTTCAACATGTAAGGCATAAAGCCGACTGTGCAACAACAATGCTCTCTCCCAAGGTTGGTATCGCTGTAAGTCAGGAGTTAGACAGTTGACACACTAGTTATCTCTTGAGCAGGTATATATTTTAATGGATTTCTAGAGCAACACGACCTTCATACAGTGCTCTCATACATCATTCAGACACTATTGGCTGAGTCTGCATTCGGCAACAAGCTCTTGTCACCAATGAATATCCAGATACCAACAAAATGGGTATCTCAGGGGTTAGTGAACAAGTAACTTTCACAGTTGTGGAAATTAACCCTTCATAGTCAATATACTCCATTATTGCAACTACTTCAGGCTCCCTGAATTCCATATACACAGCACTTATCATCCCGCTCACGAATGTGGCTCCACATTTCAAAAACCTGTCTATTGTTGCATCTAATCATGAACAAACCAAGATCTGCCCACTCACATCTCCACCTTTGGAGAATATTCCATCAACAAGACCAGGACTATACCAGCTGTATCAGAAAAGGTGAGAGGCAAGATGAAATCTTGGTGGTCATTGTTGTCAGACACAATGAACATAGATTGCATAGCTACAGCATTTTGCTTGAAGGACAGGAAATGCTCATGTCAGACTCGGAGGAATGGTTGATCAACAAGGTAAGCTGGTATTGATCCTCCCTCCATTCAGCGTCCTGATCTCATATCCCTGCTTCACCATGATGATCTGTACTGTCCATTTCCCTGCTTCAAATTTCAATCCCTGCTTGCACCTAGTAGAATCGAGATTACCACAAATCTGAGTTTGGACTTCTTGCCGAGTCCAAGGGATATTTGGCAGTGCCCATCCAGTGAAGTATGTATACAGCGGAGCACACAGCTATACAAAATCTGTATGTGAGTCCTCTTCACCAATGAGAGTGCTCGCTTGGCCACTTAAGGCTGTGGTAAGTCGTTATTTCATTGACCACTATTGCTAAAAAAAGATTTGAGTTGCACCCAACTGCACCAAATACTACTGTAGCTGAAGGGTATTTGAGTTTGAACATCACCAGGGCTGTGGGACTCAGAGCTGATTCTTGTCTTGCCTTGCATTGCACTTGTCATGTCTGAGGAACAGCAATCTTGCAACCAACATCACCAACAGGTTGATGCCTTCAACTTGGTCCCAGGAAAAGGCCATGAGTGATTTTGTACTTGCAGGAGGCAGCTACTACTGATGACTGGGATTATAATACAGGAGTGCAACTGATCTGTTGGTACACTATGAATGTCATTTCAGGCGAACAATCCATGCTCTTTGCAACTTCCAAGCCCTTCTCACCAATGGAATTTTATGGATGGGAGAATTGGCAGAGATTCCAGATGAAAATTTCACTGCAGAGTATTTTATTTTCCTGCAGCGCTATATGCAGTGTCTAATCCTGTGTATTTTACAAGGGAACAGCACGAGCACCGTATTTTTCAAGAGCTCCTCAAGTCTGTAGCAGGCCTGGAAGAGCGGCTGATGCAAGGTGGAGATGATGAGGTTGACCTCATTGCAGAGCTGGCAAGTGTCATGGTTTATAAATCCTCAGGTTAATGATTTATCCCACATTATCAGCTCACCAAAGGCGCATCTGGAGCAAGATCACCCCAAAGGGACAGAGCCTTGTTCCCCCTCTTACCCACAATGTGAAACTTGGCCACAGTTTTCATCATGAACGGACAGGTGTGTTGCTCTGTCTAGCTGGCCTTGACTGGTCTAACTTAGAGTAAGTGATATGTCCCCTGTCTATGGTGTAAAAACTGATGGGGTACAGGACAAAAACCAAGTGACAAAGTGGTGAAATGATTGTGACTGGAGACCAATGGCCATTGTTCTTATATGCTGACTACCATTATGACCTGGAGGATCCATGGAATGGCTTATTTCGAAGTGCCTTGCTAGTCTGTGTATGATACATGCCTCACCTTCGCAGTCGCTTCCAAATTTCTTTGTACTCAACAAGATTCACAGGCATACAAACATGTTTTCATGTCTCTCAGTTCTGTGGATAGAGAACCAAAGGCAACTCATTCAGGCAATGCCTGAATTCACAGAATGACAAGAGTTACTCTGCCGTCCATTGCATACATTGCAACACAGGCATGTCTATCTTTCAGATCCCTACTTTTCTCTGATTGAACATTCCTTCCAGGTCTGATTCGTGCTCACCTCATCCCCTGTGTTCTCACATACAGACACAGTCACCAACTCTGAATGGTTCTACAACTCCATCTTAGATATTTTTGAAGACCCAGATGAGAAACAAGAGGTGGATGACCTTGTTGTTTGGTGGAATAGGTGATCGATGGCTTGGAAGTAACATATTTGTTCTGCTAACCCTCAAATTCTCTAGGCAAATTTTTCCTTCATATTCAACTGCTCAATGTCCTCTTGTTAAGAATAGTGCACTGGCAATAATTCGAGAAAGGCATGCAAGAATGAAAGAGTCAGGTTCAGTCTCTGGTGCGGCTGCTTAAGTGTGTAATGTACAGTTGGCACATGGTAGTAGTTGATTATACCTGGCCAGAGCTAAGACAATCCATGTTCTGTGATCCCACCTTTATGTAGCTTTTGATGCTGATATTGTGCTCTTCAGACTGAAACTTGATCATAACATCTGCTCATCTCTCTATGATTTTACCAATGATGGCAATCCAGATGGTCTCAATGCAGCAATATCATCTTGGTAAACTATGAACTGTGTTGGCTGCCTGACACTGCAGTTATAGTGCACATCATTTTGAAAGTCTTGCTCCGAATTCATCACCCATAACTTTGTTGGTCACAAATGCAAGAAGTGTGTATGTGGCAAATACTTTTAAGAATGATGCCAATTGGACATAGGTTTGTGACACTTGTCTTTTTGATATGTTTCATAAACATGGGCATCCATTATATACTTAGATTCTACAGTTGATGAACATCACAACTACACTGCTTAACTGTTATGACCAACATTCACCAATAATGATGAAGGCGAGCACACAACCACTAGGACTCAGTCAAGAGGATAATGAACAAGATGGTATTGAGCGTGAACGTCTAAGTCACTACAACAGTAGGAAATGAAGAGGTTAAGTCTAAGGAGTACTTACGCTAACTAACCTACTTATATACATAACATTGAATAGGAGTCTGAAAGAAATCAGCCAATGAGAAAAGAGTTGTACGATACTGTGGATGACTAAGTATGACATCATGATATATAAGCAAATGAGTAAGACGGTTACTAAATAGAAACCCAAGATCCGACCAGTTCTTCTTTGGGAAGTGAGATTGTTCTAGCCTGTGGAGTAGGGGAGCCAATCAGAGAAGCAATGGGTGATATATGACGAGGAGTCACGTGACCGGCTTGGGTACTGGAAGTAGCCGAAGGGAAACTGAGAAATGAAAAATGGTTCGTATTTGGAATTCGTGACATTACCCCCTTTCTAGGATGAGCGTCCACGTGAATGTAAGATGGTCGTATATTTTTCTGTCTCCATTCGAGGAAATCAGGGGTCATCAGAATTGAAGCAGAGATTCACACCGATTTAACCGCATTGGGGTTTTCTGCATAAAATTCGGCTACTATGAGCAGCACATTCTTTACATCTTCTTCCGACTGCCATGTTACTGCTTCTATTGCATATCCTTTCCATTTTACTAAATACTGCAACTTGCGTCTGTATAGGCGGCTTTGCAATATTTGCTCTGCTTCATATTCTGGGACTTGGTCAACAATCTCCGGCGGTGGATGCTTTTGTGGTGGGCGATCAACAAGTTGAGAGGTTTGATGCGGGGTGAGCAGCGATACATGGAAGACTGGGTGAATGTGATATTTAATGGGGAGTTTTAACTTGTAGTTTAACTCGCCAGTCTTCTCTTCGATTTCGAATGGTCCCAGACGGCGGTTGGACAATTTCTGGCTCGGATGACATTGTTTGATATTTGTCGCATCTAACCATACCTTGTCGCCTGGCTTGAATTCTGGTGCATCTTTTACTTTATGATCATAAAAGTGCTTCATTCGATCATTCGCTATTTCTAGCATCGCCTTTGTCTCTTCTTGTGCCTCTTTCATCTCAGCTACTCTTTGATCGGCTTGGGGAATCGTGTTGGAAGAATTAGGGGAAATCGTGAACTCGAGATTATAGCCGTAGACACATTTGAATGGGGAATGTCCAGTAACTGTTACAGAGTTGTTATGCGTGAATTCAGCAATTGGAAGCCAAGAAACCCAATGAGATTGACGGTAAGATGTGAAGAGTCGTAGGTACTGCTCGACTTCTTGATTAACTCGTTCTGTTTGTCCGTCAGTCTGTGGGTGATATGCTGTTGACATGGACCACTTGGTTCCTAGTCTGTTCAAGACTTCCTGCATGAACTTGGACACAAACTGTGTTCCCCTATCCGAGATCACCTTCTTTGGTGTTCCATGTAACTTCCATACGTGATTAAGAAATAAGTCTGCGATTCCCTTGGAATTAACATCTTTGGTGGTCGGAGCAAGGTGTGCTTGCTTTGTGAAACGATCAATGACTACCAAAATACTGTCTTTGCCCTGGGAGATGGGTAGATCGGTGATGAGGTCACAGCTAATGGTTTGCCATAGCCCTTCTGGAATTTTGTTTGGCTTCAATGGTCCGTGGGGTTTTGACGGTAGCACCTTCTTTTGTTTGCATCGATCACATCCATCTATGTAGTCGTTGACCCACTTCTGCATCTGAGGCCACCAATAGTTCCGCGAGACAAGTTCAAGAGTCTTGGCATGTCCCATGTGTCCTGCTGCAGGCGAGTCGTGGAAGATCTCTAGCACTGAGTGATGAATTTCCTCATTATTGGGAACGTAGACCAATCCTCTGAACAGAATAAGTCCATCCTCCGTATTCCACTCTTCTCAACTGCATGGGGGCTTTCTTCAGAGTTTCAATAGCATTTCGGACTTCCGGATCTAAATCGGTACAGTTTCTGATATGCTTCAACAGCGAATGCTCTCCTTCTATCAGAATCTGACCTCTTTTTGCGGCTTTGATATGAAAAAACTCTGGTTTTAAAAGCACGTGATCGGAATTGTCATTTTCTACTCTACAAGTTAACTTCTGGCTTGTCATGAAGTACTTGAGGTTTTTATGGTCCATCCAGATCTCTACCGGATGAGGTGTGCCCTGCACATAATGCCTCCACTCCTCCAATGCGCAGATGATAGCTAAAAGTTCTTTATCGTGAATGTCGTAATTACGCTCTGCATCCTGCATTGATTTGCTGAAAAAGGCCACTGGATGCCATAGTCTGTCTTCTTCCAATTGAAAAAGTACGCCACCAGTAGCATAGTCTGATGCATTGCTCTCTATCTTCTGTTTTTTATTTGCATCTGGCATAACTAGCACTGGTGCAGAAGAGAAATTGTCTTTGAGGGTTCTGAAAGCCTTCTCCTGTTTGTCCGTCCATTCTCATGGTACATTCTTCCTGATGAGTTCATTCATGGGCCTGGCAATGTTCGAGAAACCGAGAATGAATCGACGATAAAAGTTCGCAAATCCCATGAATCGTTGAATGTCCTTGACACAGGTAGGAGTGGGCCATTCCTGAACCCATTTAACCTTGACCGGATCCATAGAGACGTGTCCATCTTTGACGATCAAACCAAGAAACTCCACTTCCTTCTTCTCAAAAGAACACTTTTCCGGTTTGAGATAGAGATCATTGTCCTGTAGTCTCTCTAGTACCTTGCGTACCACCTTCCGATGTTTCTCTACATCATCGTTGGTGAAGACCAAGATGTCATCAATGTAGACTACAACGACCTTGCCTTCCTTCAGATCTTGGAAGATTTGGTTCATGATAGTTTGGAAGGTAGCTGGAGAGTTTGTCATGCCAAAGTACATTACGACTGGTTCATGGTGTCCAAAAGGAGTCTTGAAGGCGGCCTTCCACTGGTCTCCTTCTCTCATTCTAATATTGTTATAACCCCAACAAACATCCATTTTCAAAAAGAGTTTTGCACTGGAGAGACGATCAATGAGATCTTGAGAACGAGGGAGAGGGTATGCATTTTGGATGGTTTTCTCATTCAACCTCCGATAGTCCATGACGGGTCTGAGTTTTCCATCCTTCTTAGCATCAAAGAAGAAAGGAGCTGCTCTGGAGATTCGCTATCTCTCAGTCGTCCCAAATCATATTCCTGCTTCAACCACTTCTCACATGCGTCATTTTCGGCAGGGGACAGGGGATATGCTTTCGCATTGGGGGGAAGGTCAGTAGGATCCTTGAGATCTACTTTATGATCCCATTTCTTAGACTTGGGGAATCGAGTAGACTCTTCTTCGGAGAAAACCTTAAGATAGTCATGGAGCCAGTCTGGCACCATTTCTTCTACGGGCTTCTTTTCCTTCTTCTTTTCCTCCTGCTGTGCTAACTCTGACGCAACAGAGCTTTTGTATCTGATCCACACGTTTTGTGATGAATCTTCATCCTCGACCTCCTCCATCTGCACATTCATGGTAGCTCCGTGTCCAACAGTAGTAGCAAGGTCCAATTGTTCTTCTTCCTCAAGCTTGACAGGTATAGTACCCACATGTCTGTACATTTTAGAGCTGAGGCTGTTTGACTGAACCTGATGATGGATAGAGGTTTCCTCAATATCCTCATCTTCATCATCTTCTGCCGGTATCAATTTGGGCAACACTGAAAGGATTGAACTGTTCATGGCTGTTTGCTTCTTTGCCTTGGTCTTTTTGTCTTTGACCTTGACTTCTTGACATTTAACTGGGCAACGGTCTAATGCCACCTTCCCTGCATTCCAATCAATACTGGGGTTGTGGTATCATAGCCAATCTATGCCAATGATAACATCATCGGTACCTAGGTCTGTGATTAGAAAGGCCACTTCTTCCTCATGATCCCCTATTGTAAGCTTTAAATCTGCGTAACTTGTAATTGGTCTGGTGGAATTGTCTGTTTCATCAATATTATAGATCGACATTGCTTGCAACAACTGCTTAGTCTGGACTTGATTCTTTTTGACAAATTTTTCACTAATGAAAAGGTTTGTTGCTCCGCAGTCTACTAGAGCATTGACAGCTGCTTTCTTGTGTTTCCCTTCCAACGTAACTGGCAAGTAGAAATGGTCTTGTTTATTCCCAGAACAAACTTCTGATACTTCTGCAAACATAATTGCCGAGTCACCGAGAATGGAAAAACAATTTCTCTGATCTAAGTCTGCAGTCGACTTCGATCTCCCTAAAAACCCTTCTGCTCCTCTTTCTTCGCTGGGTTGTACATACTGGAGAGGCAGATCCTCTCATTTACGATGCGGTTAATATCTTCCAGGGTGAGTGCTTTCACCGCTGGAACTTCTTCGGTCTTGCCAGCACGGATGGCTGGTCCTTTCCTTGAGGGCGGGGTCTGCCTCCTGCTCTGGTTGCATTCACATCCATTGTGTTTCCTCCCTGTGACGTGGTCTTGGGTGCTCCAGCTGGTGCGGGTGGAACAGCGG